CGAATTCCGTGTGAACTTCTGGTAATCTGTCAAGGGAGGTCCAGAGAAGTCCAGAGATCTGCAAAGTGTTCGGTTTTTAGCGCGCGCGTCGATCGTTTCAAAGACACTGCAGCTGGAAGATCTAATCTCCGAATGAAACTGGCTCCGGTTCCGGAGTCACGTGCGACCACTGTCTCACCGCCGTCCAATTTGGTCTATGGCTCTTTCCCTCCATCAATGAGCGCCCATATCGATTAGAGACTACCATCATGAATTTTGACCTGAAGTATTTACCACACACAATCAGCGAATGGGACGTGACACGAGAATTTGCGAAAATCCTCCACTCGCAAGAGTTCAACCCAGACACGGACAACGATGAACGAAAGCTCAATTTCGAGGTGAAGCTCAATGCGAATGAGAAGATGGGGGTCAGAAACGACGGCAGTGGTATTCTCACCTTGCCATTGACATGGGGGAACAAGTTTCTAAGGGTGAGTACTACGACATCTACCGCGATTTGCTCTGATGTTGGACTAGTACATCCAAGGCAAGTCGTTCAAGATCCAGCGCAACAAAATCAAGATATACAAGTCTCTCACGTGGCCATCCCGTCCTCTTGCTACGAAACTGGAAAAAACACAATACACCAGTCCCGATCTCGAAGCAGAACGACAGTCCAAGAATCAAAAATTGGAAGACGCATTCCGTGTCGACTGCGTGCAATTTGGGGTTCTGTATCAGGACTCGTATCCTAAAAATGGACAAAGGCCGCCGCCACGAAAATACTCGATTGAGTGGGAAAAGGACTATACGAGGTCGAGCACTGCCTGGCTTAGATTTGAATACGACCACAAGCTCATCCGAATCACGGTATGCATCCGGGTTATTCTTCATTGTATTGTTCCAATGGTCTTTTCAGCTCGGAGATCCGATGACTGAGGAGCAGGGAGTGACCATCGCGGTCAGTTTAAGCAGCATCACGCGGCTTGGAGTTGGATACGATGGAAGCCCATGTCAGTAGGACGACATTTTCCTTCTTCCAGCTGATTTCTGCTCAGATATCGTTTTTGACACCATCACTCCTCCTGTCCTGGAAGAAATAGAGTTCAACGCGCCTATAATCGGCTATTACGACGATGACCATCAGAAACTCAAGCATCGTGTCGGCTCCCTGATGTATGGTCACGAAAGAGTCTCTCCATTCGCGCAAAAGCTACGCGTCCAGCTCTACCACGATCAGAACCAAGACATGATAGCCAAATTCAAGTCATTTTGCATCACAGCAGGTCTGTCCGAGAGTGTCATCGCAGTTTTTCCCCCAGGGACGTATCTCGATGCCTCCCGTCGAAACTTCTTTTCGGAGAAAATCCTTCACAGACTTCGCAAAACTTTCGCCCAGTTTAGTTGGTCAGTGGCATGGCAATTGGAAGCGCTGTTACACAATTGCTTGTTGAATACGGAAGAGATGGATGCCCTCCTTCCAGTGGTGAAGAAGCTCTGTGAATCCGATAATGTACGTCTGTTTTCTCTAACCAATCATCAAATATTGATGCACTGCAGTATAAGGAAGACGATTGTGCCTACGTTGGACAACTTTTGCAACGTTACGGCGAAGGAATGGAAACGAAACCTGCCGCCGAGAGCCCCCTGGCTTGTTTTCAAAGAATTCAATCGGATTTCGCCTTTGGAGCGCGACGAGTTCCAGCTGGCAATTTTCTATGTTGTCATGTCACAATGTGTCCTTCTCGAATGCTGTTAGAAGGGCCATATCCATCTCAGTCCAACAGAGTTATCCGGCAATATCAAGGTGCGTAACTTCTCGGTCCCTTTTCGGGTCTCATTCTTCGCCAAGGGTACGAGGAACACTTCATTCGCGTCGAATTCCGCGACGAAGATCGTCTGCAATGTGGGAGATTTGCCTCGGGTTAGAAGTTCATACTGAGCCTCTTCCAGTTCGATGGGATCGTGAAGTAGATGGTACAGCTTTCTTGCAAGACCGTGTTGGAGGTATTCTGAGGCATGGATTCACGCTCGGTAAGATGCTTTCGCTATTGAAGCTTCCTTGCTAACCCCAGTAGGTGGCAGAGAATTCGAATTTCTAGCGTATTCAACTTCTGCTCTACGTGAACATTCCGTCTGGTTTTTGCATCGATTCCAGCATCCAACTGGGGTCATCACTGCCGAAAGGATTCGCAGTTCGCTCGGCAACTTTGAAGGGACTGAACTGCTGCAATGTCCATCGAAATATGCAGCACGATTGGCCCAGGCGTTTACCGCCACTGATCCTTCGGTGGCTATCTCGAAAGGGGAATGGGAAGAGGTAGATGATTTGGGAGACTTTACAGACGGGGTCGGGACTATCTCTTCTAAATTGGGAGACAGAATATGGAAGGCTCTGTGCGAGCAGCATCCACGTTCAACGGACACCATCCAGCCAAGTGTGGTATGTTCGAACCTAATATCTCTTGCTTCGCAAAGCTGACATATATACTAGTATCAGATCCGATTCTTGGGATTCAAAGGAGTCGTCGGAGTCGATAGGCAATTGGATAACCACCCAGCCGGAATTCAGATGCGGCTCAGGCATTCAATGAAGAAGTTTGAGAGCAAAGACGTTGAGGAAGCGCACATTGAGATTGCTCGAGCTTTTGAGCGTCCAAACATGTCTTATTTGAACAAGTCAGCACTTCTTTCCATCCATTATGTTTCAATCTCACACCAAGTTCAGAGCGCTAGTAATGTTGGTGAGCGACATTTTTCGATCTCGGTTAGTGTTACTGTCTCATAACCCCGCTTCAGTTGGAAACCAGGGGTGTACAAAAGGACTATCTCATGGAGCTCCAGCACGATGCAGTGGCAGAAGCTCGTACCATTCACGACACCCTGGAGAAATTCCACACCACACTGAGAGCCCATTCCCTTGGTTCTGGCTACAGGCTATCTTCACTGCTACAGCGACTCGACAAACTTGGATGTGGTCTATCTGGAGAGCACAAAAAACACAACATTGATGGTCCATTCCTCCGACAGATACGTCAAATCGCGATGACTGATATGTTACGAGAGATCAAACATGGAGCTCGTATCAAGATTCCTGACAGCTTTCTTTTGGTCGGAGTCGCCGATGAAGGTCAGGTCTCTGGTTCTGACTGGTCGTTAGCTGAAGCGCTTCTTTCAAGGTGTCGCGTATGAACAGGCAGGATACACAAACGTCTATACTCTCCCTGAAGGCCACATTTATGGTACGATTCTCGCTGGTCAACTGTTCGAGCTAAGCTGCTTCTAGCTTGTATTCAAAATGCAGATGACGCCGAGCCTACATATCTCGAGGGATCTTGCAGCATCTCCCGAAGTCCGGTTTGCCATCCCGGAGACGGTGAGTCTCTATCTTCTAGCCAGACTTGTAATTCTGATGGTTTCTGTAGTGCAAAGAGTCTATGCGATTGGGAAGCCCCCTGCAGATCAGCTTTGTCTATTTGCACATCTGAAAAATGTCGTGGTGTTGCCTTGCGTCGGTGAGTAACATCTACATTGATATCGTCCACTGTGTAATCTCCTTACAGGTGCTCGGTCTTTGGCCTCTTGGTAGAAAGTTTCTCGTTCGTGTTTCGCTTTTCTGATATCCTGTAGCTTGGCCGGAGGAGATTTGGATGGGTAAGTTAACGATAGCTGTTGTCTTGGCTTGACTGATCCTTCTAGGGATATCTATGATATCATTATGTGCCCTGAGCTGCTTCCACCAGTTGTCTCGGAGGCGGCGTCATACCCACCTGGGGAAACTTTGAACTTGAGTCGTGATAGTACTGTTGATGATATTTGCGACTTTATCGTTGAATACATCCACTCCGACGTCCTGGTGTGTTCTCTTTGCGCCTAGAGGAACTCTATCTCAATTGTTCCAAGGGACTGCTATCAGATAGACTCCTTGTCATAGCAGGTAAGTCTGTTCTGATTCTACTGAATCCTGATTCATTTTTCGACGTTTTTAGATGAATCAAAAGATGGAATGAATGACGAAAAGTGTATCAAGCTCGCTGCAATGTGCTCTCAGGTTTGTACATCCTCTTCATCTGTTCTGGTATCTGACTTGTTCCAGGCCGTCGACTACCCCAAACTTGGAAAACCGGTCCCAGTGGACGATCTTCCTTCCAAGTACCTGCGGTCAAATCCCGACTGGCATGCCGCAGAAGTTGCTCGACCCCGCCAAACCGACTATTACTTTTCATCTCGAGCACTAGGACACATGTACCGCGATATAACCATCGAAGACCCTGATTCAATCGATAAAGAGTTGCACGACGCTGAACAAGCGTCTAAAGGCAAACCATTGAATGATCCGATCTCCAGCCATGTGCAGCCAATTGTTCAGTCATATATTCAAGATGGAGCCGTGGATGTCGACACTCTGATGCCTGGGATACGAAAATCATTCGATTATTACTGCGACGAGCTGCGATATTGTAGTCTGACTCACACGGTGAGCAAAGTTCATGCTTTTACAGAGCTTGGCTGAAGCTATATTGAGGTCTCCAACACCCCGGGCGCTCGACTTTTGGAATCGGAACTCGTAACTGGAACAATTTTAGCCAAGTGTTCGCAGCGAAGATGGCGAAAGGACAGAATCTGGCGTATGCGATTGTGCTGCCAGACCCTTGTCAACGGAATTCGTCAGGACTTGTGGAACAATGCGACAGACCCTCAGGGTTACATTCGCGCTCTCCAAAAGTGCTGGTATGCTTGGGACTATAGCCTCCGGAATCAGAGCAAATTTGGCGCACCAAGCTTTGGGCTTATTTGTCTGGGGATCATCTTGGAATGCTTGGAGAAGCTCGAGACGGCGGTAGAAACTATCGAGCAAACTGAGACAGTGGAGGAAGGCACAGAAATACCGGATAGCGAGGAATTTGAATACGAATTCTAGGGATATTGAATGATTGGATATTATTATACTCGGAATCGAGACAACAAAGATGAAAAAAAAAGAAGAAAGTAATAAATGACCAACCAGCAAAAAGAACCGACACCAGCAGGATTTGAACCTGCGCCCTCAAAGAGGAACAGATAACTAAGATTCGAATCTGTCGCCGTAACCACTTGGCTATAGTGCCCTAAACATAAATCGACTCGGACTCATTATTATTGCTCAGCTGCCAGGTGGTCCAAACACCGAGTCGCTCAACTTGGACCTACACTATCCGCTCGTGATTGTAGAAGGGTATGTGATTAAGGGTATACTACTACTTGTATGGAATCCCATTTTGAAGCTAAAAAGGTTAGTCAGTCAGAAAAGGACACCAATGAAAGAAGAGAGACATACCCGTTGAAACTCATCATATGCGGTACTTCTGACATTCTCATGAGCATTCCGTATAACAGACATCATCCATTCAGCCGCCTGTCTCTCATTCAGACCAAGGGCAAAGCGCTCCCTTAATCGTTTGATAGTGCCTTCACCTTTGAAGGAAGGAAGTCCGGTATCGAGCATCAGATGAACAGTACTGATAAGTTGCTCGGCGTGAGGTCGAATGGCAAGGAAGGCTTTGACAGTCAATTGCTGGAATAGCTGGTAACCTTGAGAATATCTTCCACCCATCAGCACCACCATCTCGTGATTCAGTTTGAATGAGTGAGGCTCGAATTTGACACCCTGTTATGCTTGTTAGTAAAATGAAATCGAAGCAAGGTTTGTGCTTACTCCGGGTCGTAAAGAACAAAAGAAACGTCAGTCGAGGTCAAAATACAAGAGTGAAAATACTCATCTATGTCGAACAGGAACCCGAAATCTAACATTGAAGTCTTGGTTAGCGTCTTTGAGGTTGACCTTCAATCTCTTACCAATGTGAACTATATGTCCGTCTCCGTCGATCATAATGTTACCGTTGTGTCTGTCCTTGATCTGCAGGATGTAGCAAGCCACAGAATATGCCGCCATTGATTGTATAAAGTTGAGACGAGCCTGCTGGAAGGGAATGGTGTCTTGTCCTCCATATTTAGCGACGAAAAAGTCCAGCAGATCATTGACTTTGGCGCGACCCATCTCGTCTCGAGAAGTTGCGTTTGGAACCACGTCAATGACGCCACACTGAATGAAGGTTCGTGAGACATTGGTACAAGGATAGAGGATCGGCCTACCCCTGGTGCAGTGGCCGTCACCCGATAGGGAAAGAGATACAATGTCAACCCAACGCTTGTAAAAATATTCTTGAACATTGCAATGATCTGCAATGCAAGAACATCTTGACGACAGTCATCGCCGACTTTGAATATGGCTTGCTGCCAAACGTCGTATTCAGTCCGTATTTCAACCCCGACCCCATCTCCATCCAAAATTAGTTCGGGATCGTTGTCTATCACAATACGCTCCTTCCTGACCTTGAAAGTCGCCATGAAGGGAGCCTACAGAAACTTGAGCGCGAGTTGCAAATCTTGTGAAAGCAAGCAAACCTTGGCGTGACTTTGAAGCGGTCGACCAGACTTTTTATCAATGTCGACAACCTTCCCATCAGGATTGCTAGGTAGATACACTCCAATGTCGACCGTGATTTTAGCCATTTCTTCGTCAATCTTGGCCTGGAAAGCAACCGTCAGCTCTGACTATCTATACAAAATCATAGTACCTTCTTCTCGGGCTTGGTCTTCTTGATGAAAGGCTTCAATTTGCCAGAGATTGACGTGACTTCATGGAAGAAACCAAATTCACGGTCGTAGAACTGACGAGCGTCACCTGAAAGAGAATCCACTACCATATTCGTCATGGCGTCGAGCGCGGGTTTCATTGGATCTTCCTACAATGAAGGTTAAAACGCTGCAAAGTCGAGGACCTTTAGCTCACCATCTCAGCCGAATCGTCTTTGTAGCAATTGGCCTTCATGTTCCAAATGATTTGGTGACAGAAAAGTTGAGAGATCTTTGCTGTCTCATAGATGAACCGTGCGACATAGCCTGAAGAATGTAAGTCTCCGCTTGTTCCTACAAGGTTCAAACGGACCTAGATCATCATAGCGAAGTGCCTGGACAACTTGAGGGACGAAAAAGAAGGTCAATTCGACAGGATGTTGTTCCAGTACCCGATGGGCATACTGCAGCACCAAGGGATCATTGTTATACCGCCGCTCAAAGAAAGTGTTGGCGATGACAGGGGGAACAGGCGCCCAAAGCAGCAGAAGCTGGATTATCGGTTAGTTTCTCCTCGATATCAGAGACAATTACACACCTTGAGGTCTCGCGAGACAGACGGATCAAGTCTTTCACCGAGGAGGAACTGCAAGGCTTCCGGGACATCCAGAACATCGGCAGTGTTCGAGCGTACCAGCTTGGCGACCTCTGTTCGCACCATAGCCAGTTTGAAGCGCTCTGCCAGGTAAATCGCAATGGCAGGATTGATCAACCAAGTCGTCCTAATTACTGTTGTCCATGATGACTGCAAGGCTCGTCAGAAATCTCTCGAGGAAAAGGACAAGAAGCTGTTACAATTTCTGATAAGCTCATGCCAACATAGTCAGCGCCCCGTTTTAGATCGCTCGTTGGATTCGCCCAGACGGTCAGCCGGAATATCTCATTCTCAACGAGCAGCTTGAGAGGGTGGTTGATGCTTCTCAACCGGATGGCATAGTCTAAAAGAGTTCATTAGAAAAGCAATGAAATAAAGAGCTGGTCATACGAGAGTTTCTGGAGGTAGTCTGCACTGGAGATAGGCTGGAAATGGCAGCTGAACCACGAATGGAATCGGTCTGAAGGTAGGACAGGAATTCAGACATGAGTTTGATATCAGCGTCGACTTGGACGCGATTCGCTCCATATGTCCACCTATTTGTGAATCAGAACCACGAAACGAAAGACAAGGGTAGAACTTACTGAGGTCGAACAGCAAACCAAGAATAAGCAACAGAGTACAAGCACTCGCGTAGGCTACTTTCACAAAAAGTGTCCAATCGGGAGCACTTGAGAGTTTCGAACCCAAAGAGCAAGAATGAGAAACGGGTTTCTCGGGCGAGTGCATGAGTGCTAATCCGAGCGGTGAGATTCTGCCGAAGGTTAAACAGAGACACAAACCTCATTGTTTTGTGAGCTCGCGCAGTACGAAGGACCAGATGCTGGATGAGGAACATGACACCAGGTCGTCGGTATCTCGCAGCCTGCAAGCGACTGAACAGCATTTGTAGAACAAGAGCATGAGGAGTGAGAAGACGACGAGCATTAGTCATCCCGCGATCTATAACCTCCTTGTCTGTAGGACTGTAGCTGACGGGATGGTAGAAAGGATCAGAATAGCTGGAGGAAGGAACTATGAGAGCAGCTCCACGACTGAAAGAGATACAACACACTTGAGCGAAGTAGAAAAGATGCCCTTCTCTTGCTTGATCGTCTCTGACCATGCAGAAAGCAGCTCACTCATCAGAGCGACCTCGATATCTCCCTTTTCAGCAATCACCCATGTCCAAACTTCAATTCCCGCAGAAATGGCAGAGGGCGTCGAAACCTGGAAAGGAAGTGCAATGAGGTAATGCAACAGCTCGTAGTCGCAGTTCTGAAGGGAGATCAAGGTGGCAGCACATCGGAAGAGAAGCCGCTTGAGATCTTGAACCGTCAAGCTACTAATCTTGTCCCGGATCTCTTTCAGCGAATGTGACATCTTTGCCTTCAGGGCACTGATTTCCGCTGAGGGAGCATCCTGAGGTGGTAATTTTTCCAACTTGTCCGGTCCTGCATTCAGTGTAAGTGAGGGGTGCAACAACAGAGTCCCGTTGACCTTACCTATACGACTGGCCAACCGGATACCTGCAGCTTCTCCAGCGAAATAGCTTTTACTCGCGAGTTGACTAGCCAAAACCTTGGCTTTGTCTGTTGTCACCCCAGACAATGCCGATAAAGACGCTGTCAGATGGTAAGCATCATCTTTAGAACAAGATAATACACTTACAAAGTTGCCGCTGAACAGGACCAATAGCCTTTCCAAACTTTTCTGCAATCGAGGCTCCCAACTCTGAATCATCTGCAAAAGAGGAAGATTGATTGACAGCGAGGTATTTCTGCAGCGTCGTCTGAATCTCAACGGGCGCGCGACCAAGAGCCAGTTCAAACCAACTTGTCGCATTACGAAGAAGAAGCGTAAGAATCTCGTTTCGGACTTTGTAGCTGTCAGCAAGCTGGAGAGTGATTCCTGTGCGGTCTGAATGGAACTTGTATACTGGATTGAACTGGGAGAATTTGTGAGATAATAGTGGTAGAAGGAAGGAACCCACTTGCCTCGTCTGTGAATTCATTTTGACATGCACGTCGGAGCAATGTGAGAACTTCCAAGATGGCAAAGACCAAAGATGGGTCGCACATGAGGGAAGGGAATGAGGTGATTAAACGATTCAGGAATTTGGATGCAATTTCTCGGGCTTTGGCGATTCGATGGGTGCTGCAGACAAGCAGGACGCGTAACTCTGATGGGAGACACTCGGGTAGAGCCTGTTGAGCCGCCTGGATGTTCAGCTCGTGAATACAGCCGCGGATGACCTGAATCACAGTCAGAACATACATATCGAGAAAATGAATATACAAACCCTTTCCGCAATTGACTCCATGCAGGCGCTCAGCCCAGGGTGTCTATTGAGACTGTCGTTGACGAAATAAGAGACCAGAGACGAAGTCAATCCAGCCCCAGACCGCATATGCTCCATGTCGTGCATCGTGAGCAAAAAGATGATTTGACCAGAAGAAAGGTAGCGTATATCACTTGCGCGAAGAGAAATATATCTCGTGATGCATATCCTATGTTTTCCGATAACCTGAAGCTTCTTAGCGACAAAAGATTAATCAACGACGATTCAACTCACTGTTTGGGCATATTCTTGACGAATGACCGAGTTATACTCCACATCGCTGGCGACAGAGTCCTGGGATTCCTCCAGTACTATACAAGGCGTCTTGGATGCTATCCGAGCCAAAGCCGGCTTCTGCCACTCCATCGCAGACTCCTCTTTATCCTCTTGCAGAGTAAAGTGGAAAAGGACACAAAGGAACCACATGTTTCGAAAGAGCGAAACGATTGAAGACTGAGCATCTAAGTGAGGATTAAAATCTTCATGGGCTAGCAAGGCATCAATGGGGAGAAGTAATG